CTCGACCGTGTCTCCGAGAAGAACACCAAATCCGGTTTATTAGAATAAACAAGACCAACTGCAGTTTGGAACGTGAGGGATGGCCCAATTCCTCTCACATTCCAGGCCAAAAGCCTCATTTATCCGACTGGGGCCATTTATGGCTGGCTTCCTCCACCTGATTCAAATTGTCTTCATCCTCCACAAATTGCTTCTTTGGGCTTGGATCAACACCCAACTCTCCTTCCACTTCACTTAAAGGCCTTTTGCGCGTCTCAAAAGTGGGATGCTGAAGATTAGATCCATACTCATCCAGAACCGGGTGCTCAGCATTGATCTCCACTTGGGTGATCTGCTCCGGATTAGACGCCATCTCTTGCTCCTTTCGGAAAAAAGCCTGATCACCAGTAAGGGCCATCCCCGATTCGAATGCCGCTACAACCTGGCTCACATGGCCTTTAGGTGTAACGACACTCCGCCCATTAGGCTTAAAAGAAGCAGGCCGCCTCATGATTTCAAAGCACTGGGGGTCATCATCAGATTCCGAATCCGCCGAGACCAGGGCCCGGACAGATTCTTTCATGGGATCAGGACGTTGGGCCGGCCCACCATCCGCGCCATCCCGATCCAACCCCTTCGCCCATGCTGGAACACGGTCGGGAGATGCCATCGAGATCTGCGGAATCTTTGCCTTTCTCAACCGGCCCGCTCTCTTCTTGATACCCGCAGTAGTAGCCGGGCCAGACGGCCCATCCCCCAAAGTTGAGGCACAGCCCAACTTTCCCAGGCCCATACCAATAGGCGCAGAGCTTTGGGACAAATCACCTCGGCCCGCCACCGTTGTCGGCCTGGTCGTGATACAGCCCGCTTCGCGGCCAACATGAAATTGGGCCGGCCCTTGCTCCTCATCCCCAGCTCCCAAACTGACCGGCGGCCGATCCAGCTCCAACGCATCATCGTCGGAATCCGCCTCAAGAACGAGACGTCGACGCAGGGTAACAGAGTCAGAGCCATAGGGTTGGTTTGCCAGGTCACTAGCCACTGGGTTCCTCTTTTGGTCTTCAATTTTGACCCCATTCCTCTTCGACTTCAGGCCCGAAGCCTTGCTCGACCTCTCCTTTCCACGCCGATCAAAACGCTTCGTGCGATCGCCCCCAATCTGGAGTTTGGGAGACTTCTTGATGGTGAATCCACGGGGACTGGCCTTCCTGCCCGATAAGTGTGGGATTGGCATGGCTTTACTCCTCTGGTGCAGATGAGCAGAAGCTTCATGGACAGGCTGTCGATTCCCCTCCTTGTCTATTGCCGCTTCGTCCCGGTTCTCAGTCCGCTCCCGGACATAAGTCCTCGCCTGCTGTGCCGGTCCATTGACCTGGCGATTCACCCAAACTGATTTCCGAGGACCACCGAACTGAAAGCTTTCACCTTCGTCCTCATAGACCTTCCGCCCCATCTTTTTAGTCGACATATGGGGTCCAAACCTCTCTTTCCCACTAGGCGGATCGAAAGAGCATTCCCGGCGTGAATGGCCTACCCGGCCACAATGATAACAGAAACTTGGAAGAAATTCATATTTCAGGTTCACCCAGAAGCAACCAATATCCTCACTGGCTTCAAAAAGCTGGGAGCGAAGCGGTTTGGCAAAGTCCATAACAGTACGCACTTTGATAAACCGCTCCCCTGTTTCCTTGCAGGCAAACACATCAGATTCCAGCACCTGTCCAATAGCTGAGGCCATAATTTTCCGTCCAAAGAGGTTAGTGCAGCATTCTTCTTTAACACCCCAGAGTTGGACTCGGAATGGCGCTATCGATAATTCTTCAAATAGAGGCCTTGTAATCGTGGCCGTCCATGCTCGGAGGGTGAGGATCTTGTCCTTGACGACCCACGGAGTTCGCTTAAGAGCCCAGTTCTTTGCTTCTTCATTGGGCAGCAAAATCTCGAACAGGTCATGTTTGGCCTTGGACACTTTAACCCGCCCTCTGATTTGCCAGGCATCGACCAGGGCGTCACGTAGCTCCAGAGTAGAGAATTGCTCCGAACTCATCACCCTTCCCAGAATCGAGCGCGCTGCCCGAATTCTTGTGGGTATCACCTCATCAATTGAAAATTGAACCACCTGTTCATCCTTCAAATCCACCATGGCTTGTTCCTGACACAACAATGCAGAAGACACACAAGGAACAGATGAAACAGAATCAGGGGGTCTATGAAATTCGGGGTTATAATTCCCAGAGCTGGCATAAACTAAGTTATTATGCCGCGATTGATAAGAGGCAGCCGCCGGATGAATAGAAGGGGTAGGGGTCTGAACTTGACTCTCCATACCTGGAATAAGCTTGGCCGCGCTAGGAGGGGCTCGGAGAACGTCAACGCTGGTATCACCAACAGGCTTGCTTCGCTTGATTTGGTGATAGAGCAGACGTAATACAGGGGTATAAATAATGAGAAACGCAGCAGTAGCTGCTTCTCTGGATTTAATCGTGATCTCAATCTCACTGTTACCAATTAGAGTTGGAGTAGGACTGTGAGACCCAACATCGCTGCGCAGATTTCGGTTGGTTACAGATGGAGGATCCCGGAGATTCCTCCCAAAAAAACCCCAGAGAATCGGATTTGAACTGACATCACCCAAACCGTTACGATTTTTCCGCGTCCCACGGATTTGGGGTTTTCCAGATCGCGGCGGCGACCACCCCAAGCCGCCGGCGGGCCACAAGAGCAGAGCATTGTTTCTCCTGCTCCCCTGCCGTATCATCAATGGTTTCTGCTGGGCAACTCCCCAAACCAAACGATGCCCAATAGTTAATTCAGCTTTCAAATCAGAGGCCATGCCAGTAGGCTTCCCCCTGTTGACACATTCCCCAGGCAAAAACACCCTCGGTTCCTCATTTTCCAGCTCAACAGCTGATGGGATCCGGAATCGCCATCCCTTCAAGGGTTGACACCTGCCTTTTTTGGGGAGAGGCTCCGGCGGGCATTCAATATCCCTCCAAGCAGAGCCGATCTTCCTTTTGCGGAGCACGCAGTACAGGCTGCGCTTCCTTTCATAAGTTTCCCCTGTGCACACCGATTTTCTGCCCAGAGGCGTTTTCGGATGTCGATCGAATGAGGTAGAATCCTCATCTCCTCCCGGGGAAGTGGAGACGCTGGGTTTACTTGATTGTTGAGTCTTCCCACTGGCCGTGGATCTCCCATCAACTTTGGAAACTATTTATTTGTAAAAAAAAAACTTTGAAACTATTTACCCTTAATCATACGAGGGGCATATTTATAATGACTATTTGTCAAGATGCTTGGTCATTGGCAGGGTTTGAGGATTGCATTTAGTATTCTATCAAAATAATAATAAGGGTAAATACAATATATTAGCCACTACTATTATGAAGCGGGAAAATATAGCCACAACTATTGAAATTCAAATTATTAGCCAAACGTTAACTATCTGTTAACAATTTCGTTAGTAATACTGACTAAACTTTTATGTTTTGAAGTTATAAACTAAAAGCATTCCTACACGTGGCCTTCTCCGTCAAAAATTCAATAACAGTAACGGACAGTTAGCCATATCTTGACCTGCAACAATAGTTACGGCTAATAATTTGAATTTTCATAGTTGTGGCTATAATTCTCCGCTTCATAATAGTTGTGACTAATATATTGTATTAACCCTAATAATAATAAAAAACCAACTATTTTGTAAGACCACGGTATTATTATCATAGAAAATCAATTTCTTCTTGCAAACGGTTATTTAGTATAAGATATTCATAATTTTGTCTTGTTTTCTTTCTCTTGACAAATTTGTTGTCTCAAGACAAATCTTTTATTATTGACAACTTGCTGCTGTACAGAAGGACTTAAGTGGCAACAGTGGCGAAACTAGGAAATTTGCATAGGGTGTCATTTTTAAAAAAATAAATAATAATAATTATTATTAATAACAATTAAATAATTATTAAATAAAAAATATGCAACTCGTACAAGTTAAAAAAAGTCCAAGATGGATTTTCATATTCTGAAAAAATTGTAAAATATATTTGGTGTCTGCACTGCTGAACAAAGTTGTATTGGTATATTCTACTAGACAAAACGCATATTCGACTTCTAAATTTGTTCTTGATGTAACTCAAAGTTGAAAAGACACTTTTAGCACTGGTCGTACAACCATAAAATCAATACAAATTATGGGTAGCTTGTAATTAGATTGATTGTTAGGTTTTGAAAATAATTAAAGGTAGAGAATAGGATTTTGCTATTACACAGTGTTTAGAATAGAACAACAAAAAAGTTGTAGCACTACAAGAAAAACTTGTTATAGAAACAAAGGTTGTTTGTTTCTAAAAGTCATTTATTTGTTTCTAAAATAGACGAATACATGAGTATAGAAAATGATAACTCGTAAAAAATAAATCGATGTATACATTCCGAATACACTAAAAATATAGCAAAAAAATATCCCAACTATCATGTTGATTCTCCAATCCATCCCATCTTGTGACGGACGCTCCAACCTTTGGTGGTCACAATTACGTACGTAACGTACACCAGCGCTGAGTCACCGATGGAATGGAAGGAATAAACACAGACGAGTCATTGGGTGAGGACAGGCTGGGCCGCCACCAGCTCGCCATTCTCTGGTCACCGGCCATCAACAAAAAAGTTAAGAATTCTAAAAGAAAACGTAGGAAAACATGATGAGATCAAGATTGAGGAGGTGAGGTTATAATGACATATACATATATTGAAAATCTCACATGCATCTACTAATTAAAACAATAACCCAATCCACTTTGTAAAGAATAAAGATAGATCTGATCTATTCTATACTAACTCACCCGATATCGCGTCGACTATATATATAATATAAATATATATACTAGTGCCACCACGTCATTGCTAAACCATCGATGTTTGCCTGCCTCTGCCTCTGCCTGCCTCCATACAGTCAGTCAGAGACAGTCGTGTAGTCCCCACCTCTGTTACTGTTACTGTTACTGTTACTAATCAAGTAACACTAATTAATAATGCTGCCTTTCAAAACCGCCGCCGCCTGTCTCCGGCAGTATTTCGCCGCTAAAATACCCTCCAACTCTGCCGCCGCAGTAATCCACGCGCCACGTCTGATCATACAGCCATGAGTCGCCGTGCCACACAAATTCATCCACTGCCGCCGCCGATTCGTTTAAACACCCCATTTCCGATCCCAGCCTCGGCAGCTCCACTATCTCGCACAACTCCTCCGCCGCTGACGCCGCCGATGACAAGAGGGAGGAGGAAGACGACAACGGGGCGGCGCCGCAGGTCATGGTGGCGGCCTCGACGGCGGCGGCCCGGACGTCGCGGGGGGAGGTGGAGGCGGGGCGAGGGAGAGAGCCGGCGAGGTCGGGGAAGTTGAGGATGGCGGCGGCGGAGCCCTTGATGCTGAGGGCGGCAACGTCATGTGCACGCGCCGCCATCTCGGCGGTGGCGAAGGTCCCGAGCCAGATCCGGCTCTTCTTCCGTGGCTCCCGAATCTCGGAGACCCATTTCCCCCACGTCCGCATTCTCACCCCTCTGTACACCGCCCCGCCGCCGAAGTTGTCGTCTCTCGCTCGCTTCAGCTTCAGCTTCATCTTCTTATTCACCCGCTTTTCATTGAGGTTGTTGGTGACCACGCTGCAGGCGGAGGAGCTGGTGGAGCACGGTGAATCAAAATCGGCTGCCATTTTCCCCGTTTTTTTTTTTTTTTCGTGAACGAGAGAGAGGTTAGATGTTCGTTCGACGTGGAGGGTGAAGAGGGATGGCTTGTATTGAGAAGAGCAAATGAAAGGCCAAAGTTTGAGTTATGAGAGAGAGGGGAGCGTATTTATAGAGGAGAAATTATTAGATACACCGGGAGCCGCCTGTAGCTGCTCCTGACGACTCAAATTGTGACACGTGACCAAAATTTGTCGGGTTGCCGCCTGTAGCTGCAGCCAGTCGTCTACGTGTTGCCTAGTGATTGGGCACAATTACAATTCTTTTTAATTGCTAGCCGAAGCAAAAGGTGCAGGGGACGGAACGGATTAAGCTTCCGTCAATTTCTATTTGAGAAATACTTCACTGCAACCTGGTTTGCAGCTTGCTCCTGCTGCCAACACAGGTGGCTTTCATCTATTGGCTGAGTTCTTATTTTTAATTATAATTTAATATCTGCAACTTTTCCATATTGAGGTACTAAATTTTTTGTTTCCGCTGGATTCTATTCATCGACCAATCGTCATTGCGATTGCTTCGCTGCTGATGGCCTGAAATTGTTTGCCGCTGTCGTCTGGCACTTGAAATACCGATCGAATTATTCAGTATGAATTTGAGGATTCGTAACCTCCAATCGGTTGTATGCAGCAGCCGTTGTCTACCCACTACGACGCCATTACAATGGTGGCAGAGGAGATGCTATCATAAGAGATTATAATGACAGATTGTCGGTAGATGGAGGTAGGCTAATAGAAAGAATGATGGCAGAGGAGATGCTATCTTAGGAGATTATACCATTGGAACAGTGTCGCGGTGGAGTCTCGGCAGGTCGGTGGCAAAATTAAGTAAAAGTTGCAAATAAAAAAATATAATTAATAATAAGATATCAGCCAATGGATGAAAGCCACCTGGGTTGGCAGCAGGAGCACGCTACAAACCGGGTTGCAGCTAATTATTTCCCTTTCTATTTTTTCATTTGGGGATTAATTCCAAGGCGTTCAAGCTCTCAAGTAATATAGCATGCATTAATTATTTTTACTTTAACTTTTAGATTTAGCTCTTTATTATTTACCATAAGGAAAGCGATAACTTTGGATAGTATGTATAAGAACATAATTCTAAAACTATTCCTATCGATGCAATTGTAATACTGATTACACAAGTTGTTATTATTGTCACTTCACAATCTATCTAATCCAACTCATATTCATTTTATTACATAACATCAATGCAATTCAGTTGCAATTAATTTTTTAAAATTTAGTGAAAAATATAAGTCATTCAATATGAATGGTGCGATTTAATATTATTTTTATGTATTATTCCTTACAACTATTTATAAGAATAATTTAAGGAAAATAATATTTCAAAATTAAATAATCCTATACTTAAGAAAATATAGATGTTGTCAATCTTATGCACAATTTAAATGAGCATTTGTTAGACTAACCACAACTCGGAGGCAAAAAAAAACTAGGAGCAAAAAATCTACAATAGCCATTTACCCTCCCGAAAACCTGTGTAAATGAGCATTTGCATAAAATAATATATTGCTTCAAGAAATCATAGAATCAAATTTCTCCGACTATACTAATAATTGAACTTTGAAATTGGTGTCTACTCCCATTCTTATATCCAACAATAAGTGAAAGTATTTTAAGTAAAATAAGTATTGCAGGCTATATTACTTGAGAGCTTCAACGCCTAGGAATTAATCCCCAAATGAAAAAATAGAAATTATTGGATCATTCTTATATCAATTTCGCTCATATTTTACTATTCATAAAATTCCTAGAACCAACAATCAAACCATCATATTATTGGATCAAACTCAAATGTCAGTTTGCTCCAACAAGATGATGTGCCTACCATAATAATGAGCACTTCTATTGTGCTATAAAGTATTGGTGTTTTAATGTACAACTTAAAGTTGTACCATAACGTTAAATGTATAAGTTAAGGTTGTACCATAAAGGAATTTGTGCTCTTGTGTTATGGTACAACTTTATAACTTAAACTTGTACAATCAAATGAAAGTACACGTTTAAGTTTTACCATAAAACAATTTGACAAAAGAGTATAGGTACAATCTGAAGTTGTAGCATAACGTTAAAGGTACAACTTCTAGTTGTACCATTAAGGGAAAAACCTATAGCACCAATGCTATATAGCATTGTAAAATTCCTCCTAGGGCTGGGAAACGGTGCGGTCTGGTCCAGACCAGATCATATATACGGTCTACGGTCCAGACCGAGAGGCTAAAGTATAGACCACAGACCAGACCACAGACTATACGGTCTGGTCCAGACCACATCTGTGCGGTCTGGTTCGGTCTGGTCTGGTCCAGATAGACCACACTCAACGAAAAATGAATAATTTGTTTAGTCAATCACACAAAAAATTGAACCAATAACCAAGAAAAATAATTGTTATTTGCCTTAAAACATTAATCTTAACATGCATGAATAATTTTGATACTCTAAATCTTAGTACATAACAAAGATACAAAGTAAAAGCATCCCAGCTTGCACCATAATGTCATAAACATTAACATAATGTCATATGAAGACATGATTATCTCTACTCAGTGGTTAAATGTGGTTGTGAATGAAGGAGGGAAGAGATTCACAAAATTAAGGTTGAGACTTGGGTGTCGTTGTGGGAGTTTGGAGAGTGGTCGAATGGGTTGTTAACACGTATTGACAAGTCAGTTGGGTCTACGGTTTGGTCCGGTAAACCGCGGTCTAGACCAGACCAGACCAAGAGATCAAATCATAAAATAATACAGACCATGGACCAGACCAGACCATACTTCACGGTCTACGGTCCGGACCAAACTGTGCGGTACGGTTTGGACCATGATTTTTCTAACGGACTGGTCTATTTTCCCGGCCCTAATTCCTCCCATAATAATACGAATGTACCTTTTGCTTCGGTTAGCAATTAAAACGAATTGGAATTGTAATTGTGCCCAATCACTAGGCAACACGTAGACTGGATGCAGCTACGTGCGGCAACCCGTGTTGCTGCCAAATTTTGCCTTTTATAGAGGGAAAGAACGGAGAAACGACGAAAGAAGGCAGGGCGGGATTAGTACAGGAGTCGTCCTATTAAAAAAAAACTCAAGAGGGTGAAAAGGGTGGGAGGGATCCTCAAATGGCAAGGCGATGTGCCCTACAATTTTGGGTTCCCTAGCTGGCACAAGACCATTATTCTTCCTATACCGTGTGAGTTCTTTTTTTTCCCGACAATGGTGAGTGAGTGTACTCTAGTACTCTACCGTGTTCTATGTTTGTTGACACTCACCACTCACCATTAGGCTGGGCAATGGACGGGTTGGGTGGATTTTGGTCTAAATTGACCCACCCGCTTACTAGCGGGTTGGAATACATGTGACCCGCAATCCACCCACATACTTATGCGAGTTGGGTTGGGTGGGTGGTGGATGAGTGCGGTTGGGTCGTGGGTTAACCCGCAAAAGCAATTCTCCAATAGCCATTAAGAAAATTGACTAACATTTATAATAAATTCATAGCAAATTAGTAAGATTGTATCAATAATTTGTGATTTTGATACAATTAATAATTTATTGTTTGTATCACATTATTTAATGGATATTAACAATAATTTGCATACCAATATCCAATATCCAATGGATATTGCAACACAATAACCAATAACAGTAGTCAAAACTATTCTTTATTCTCCACCTTTTGAAGTATATGGTCAGATTGTAGTGCAGTTCGAAAATATGATGAATATTTGATACTATAAGAAATAATATTTTCCATGTAAAAATAGGACGCGGGTCATACGGATGACCCTCCATCCACCCACATAAGTGCAGGTGGGAGATTTAACAATCCGCAATCCACCCACATCAATCACCCACTGTATGTGGGTCAGGTTATTTGCGGGTGGATTGATATCAATCCGCGGATTAACCACCCACGTGCTCACCCCTACTCACCAGAATGTGCCGCCTGTGTTAATAAGCATGTGGGGTTGTTGGTGTCAACTGATTTATGGTAAATGAAGACAAGCGATTTACGTAGTTTCCAGTATTATGATGGAGCGGTACAGATTAGTTTTCGAGTTGTGACTGATACTGTATATAGATAATTGTAAGAGTACGACTTAAATGACTCGATATAGATGAATATTCAACAATCCAAGCACCTGCTCCAACATTGATGGTGATCTTGGAGCATCAACTTGCAAGAGGGAAATCAGTGTTGACTAGTAGTGAAGGTATTCATAAAATTATACACTACTTAGTCATTGGACTTGAGATAATGGAGCTGGACAGTACCTTCACACACCAAAATCTTGAATATAGTGCAAATGGATCTAAATGTGCTTGGTACGGTCATGAAGGATAGGATCGGCAACAATTCGAATAACATTAGTGTTGTCGACATAAAGATCCATGGGCACCTAGCAAGCAACACCCAAATCACCAAACAGACGTTGAATCCAAACCATCTTAGACCCTTCAGACATAGCTCAATGTTCGGCTTCAATATATAGCTTTGTAATATTGTCTTGCTTCTTACACCACTAGAAAATGAAGGCCTCTCCAAAGATCATACAACATCCAGTAGTAGACTGACTCGCACAAAACTACACCGCGAATTAATCCCGACTAGAGCCCAAGTTTTTAAACTCTAGCCGGGTGCAGTATAAGGCAAGTATTTATTTGTCAAACCCTGGCTGGACCATGTGCCCCTACTTCAATCGCTTAAGTTGTTATCTAGCAAAACAATTATGGGTTTAAAACTATGAAAACTACAAATGAAAACAAGCAAGTAAGGTAAAATGGGTGGAAAACTCTAAGTGAGGAGCTTCACTCGGGTGTTGCTTTCCCCTAACCAACTACCAAGAACCGTGGGATTGAATGAAGCGGCATGTGACGAGGCAATTGTCACCCATTGGAGGTGGAACAATGGTTGGAAACCATTCTCCCAATCGCTAGGCCAAGGAAGGGGTC